TACAATTTATAAGGATAGAAATGTGGTGTTTACAATCGATATGAATGCAAGTATGGTGTTTACAATCTCTACATGAATGTAAGTGTGGTATTTACAATTTATATGAAAATCTATGGGCTAAATCATTTGCTGGGGGGGTGGCCGCTTAGGTATGTGTACGCTCGTACTCTAACTTATAGCACATGGACCTAAAGGCGTTTGGCAAAATGATATTGCTCAAAAGTACGTTCGATAAACATAAACATGGTTTTCACCCTATTTTATCAAAGGCGAGTAATTTGAATTCCCAACAAAGGTAAAAAAAAAAATTCCGTCCTGTAACAGTTGTTTGTGCTTCACATGTTCCCTCGCCTTTAATTACGTGTTAGTCGTCACTGCCGTCCCATAAATCTTGGCGATAACGATTTGGTTGCTATCGCCGACGTAATTCAAAAAACGTCAAATTTGTTTCATGGCGACAATATTTTTGACTTTTGTTGCAATGTTTATTTATTCCCGCACCAAACATTCACGTTCATTAAATTGCGTTTTTTAAGTCACATGCTATAGAGTGCATTTTTGGAGTCCCTCAAGTTTGTTTCAACGACTGCAGTCGCACCAGAGATAACTAAAACATTGAAACGTTCCTCCTAAATTCATGTGCATTAAATTGCGTTACGTGATCCTCAATTTTATTTTACGTACCTTTGTCACCCATTTCTTCACCAGAGTGAATTACAGCATTAATATTTGTTCCTTGGGAATCTGTAAACTGCATTTATTTTCGATGTATTTTTACATTTATTTATGTCTCCTAAGAAAGTTCCCCAATTTTCTGCATAAGCAGAACGAATGAATTATATAGATAGGTAAAGCAAATACAAACTACTAGCACGAGTTTTATAATAATAGTAAAAAAAAAATATGGGCCCGATAACTAGCAATGCCAGGTTACAATGGTGCATTATTGTCACCATGTTTATTTAACCTTGAATATTCCCTCACCAGAGTGAATTACGTCACGAATATTTGTTCCCCTGAAATCTGTAATAAAACTGAATTCATGTCTTTCATTAAAATTCATGAAGATTTGTATCGTTTTGAACCATTCCAGATTTCTCAGAGCAGGCAGGCTAACACGTTTGTCACACGTGACTTTTCACGCTATGATTTGCCACATATCAATACACAGGTGTTGTTCGGTAATTCAAGACGGAGGCCCATACCTGGTTGGCAAGGAAACTATTAAATCTTTCTCTTCCCATACACATACACATCTGCTTTGGTTTCAATTCCACGTAAGAATTGTATTCATTCAGAATACGTTTTAAAGTTCTCGCGAACTCCGCCATATTTAAATATAGTTCGGGTTTCCGCCTACCAATGACCCTTGATTTGCATAAATGCATGATCAAGCTGTTGCAGGGCCGATTTAAAGAAGCGCCATCTTGCGTGCGGAGTGGTTTTGGACCGCGCTGGTCACTGCGTTTCCCTGAATCTCGCCAATATCGATTGGGTCGAAATTAATGTAGCTATCGTCAAGGTAAATAGTATCTCACCCCACAGGTGCTCGGAACGTTTCTTGGCTATTTTAGGTCATTTTTTATTAGCCAAGAAACGTTTCGAGCGCCTGTGTCTCACCCCCGTAGTTATTATCGCCGATTTTCCGAGTCGCTACTGGAGTGATCACGACCCAAATTGTAGTTCTCCTGGCGCCTCTAAATAAAAAAAAACTACCTAACAACTGGACTGAATTAATAATATCAAGAACAAATCATGGAAGATTGAGCGAAAATCGGCTGTTTTTTTACAAGGACAATACTACTATCTGCCCAAGCACAATCAAGAACCACTTCCAGAATTGCCAGCACTAAGATGACCGTTATTTGGCCATCTTCAATTGAATACCATAACAAACGCATGTACATATGTATCTAAGAAGGCCTGTCGGACAAGTGAAGTTTTCCCACAATCCAGTAAAATTATAGAACAGTTTCAGACACTCTTTCGCGCAAGCAATGAAAATGCCGAATTAATGGATAAATTTGGTTCTCTGCATGGATGCACTCTCATCTCATGTGTTTTCATGTTGCTTTTCCAGGTAAAACACTTGTCCCATTCTTCACACAGGTATGGGCTGCTTACCACTATGCACAATCATATGTCTTTTTAGATTGCTTCTCGAGGTAAAACACTTGTCACATTCCTTACACTGGTATGGCTGCTCACCGTTGTGCATTCTCTTATGTGTTTTAAGGCTGCTTTTCCAGGTAAAACACTTGTCACATTCCTTACACTGGTATGGCTGCTCACCAGTATGCACTCTCATGTGTGTTTTTAGGTTGCTTTTCCAGGTAAAACACTTGTCACATTCCCTACACTGGTATGACTGCTCACCAGTATGCAGTCTCATGTGTGTTTTTAGGTTGCTTTTCCAGGTAAAACACTTGTCACATTCCTTACACTGGTATGGCTGCTCACCAGTATGCACTCTCCTGTGTTTTTTCAGGCTGCTTTTCCAGGTGAAACACTTGTTACATGTTTTACACTGGTATGGCTGCTTACCAGTATGCACTATCATGTGTGCTTTCAGACTGCTCATCTGGGTAAAACACTTGTTACATTCCTTACACTGGTATGGATGCTCACCTGTGTGCACTTTCATATGTGTTTTCAGGTTGCTTGTCCGTTTAAAACACTTATCACATTCCTTACACTGGTATGGCTGCTCACCAGTGTGCAATCTCATATGTGTTTTCAGGTTGCTTGTCCGGTTAAAACACTTGTCACATTCTTTACACTGGTATGGCTGCTCACCAGTGTGCACTCTCATGTGTGCTTTCAGGTTGTTTTTCCAGGTAAAACAATTGCCACATTCTTTACACTGGTATGGCTGCTCACCAGTATGCACTTTTGTGTGTTCTTTCAGCTTGTCTTTCCCAGCAACACGCTTGCCACATTCTTCGCACTGGTATGAGTGCTCACCAGTATGTATGCTCATATGTCTTTTCAGGTTGCTTTTCTGGGAAAAACGCTTGCCACATGCTTTACACTGATATGGTTGCTCACCAGTATGTACTCTCATGTGTGTTTTCAGCATGCCTTTCCAAGCAAAACTCTTGCCACATTCTTCGCACTGGTATGGCTGCTCCCTGGCATGCACTCTAGTGTGTTTTTCCGGGTTGCCTTTCCCAGCAAACCACTTGCGACAATCTTTACACTGGTATGGTTGCTCATCAGTATGTAATCTCATGTGCCTTTCTGGGTGGTCTGTCTTGGTCAAACAACTGCAGCATACTTTACCCTGCGACTTCGCTTCCACACTTTGAGTTAGTCTTTCGTCGCCATTATTTTTCATGAAAGGCTTGACATGTACTTCAGCATGGTCTAGTAGCACGTTAGACATGTTGCGCGCAATAACCTATTATATCACGGCCTGAAAATATATTGTACCGCGGTCTCGATGTGGCCAGTTTTTTACACAACTGTTTACGTGTAAATGTAATTTCTGTGTCTTTTTCACGAGGGCTTCTAAATGTGTATTTGTAGCTCGCTCGCTCGTAATTTTAAACGATTCGGAATGATTATACTCTTTATTACCTGCTCTACATAACACAAATTTACTCATAAAATTAGCAATAACAAAAGTAGTATACCCTTAATACCGGTAGTGACCATTACTTTCCGAATCGACCATCTGTAAAAGCAGTCCTATGTTCAGAAGGTCCGAAGTTCAGAAGTTCAAAAAGTCCGACGTTTCAGAAAGTCCAATGTTCAAAAATTTCACAATTAACAAAACCCCAGAGTTGTGACAAATATTCAGACAGACTACTATTCTTTGATCTGCATAATTATGTACACCTTTTAATTAATAGTTAATATGATTCAGCAGGATATCATCTGAACATCGGACCGTTACCGTTACAAGTGTGTAAATTATGTGTCAACGTCGCCATCTTCGTCCATATTGTCACCGTAAATTTTATACTTTTATAAGTGATCAGAACATGCTCCACTAATGGTCTGTGATTTAATGTGTTCAATGTGTGAATATTTTATTTGCTCATTATGGTTAATGGGGTCAACTATGGTTGTGCTGTGTTAGTTAGTTGGATAGTTGAAATTACATGATTTACAAAATTCGATCAAGCTGCCTCACCCAGGTAGCTGTGACATTACGTTATTGTTACAATTTTACTGGTGGAGCACATGCTCTATCAAATTTGCTACTTAAATTGCAAAACAACTAACAGCACCCAAGCAACGAAAATACAGAGGCGCGGCCAACTGACAACTGAGAAGTTAATCTGAACAACATAGGGTGTGTCATTTTTTTGTAGGAGTTCATCCCATTTTTCACACTGGGCTCGCCGACAATATCTCTTCAAAGTTGATATTTATCGAACAAAATTAAGACAAAGTGTACAGACATTTTATCTAAGTCGACAGTTATTAATTACCTTGGCAATAAGTCCAAAGGTAATGCTCATATTGATATGCAATTGCATCTTCCAGCCCTGTGATATACATGGTATGCCCATTATAGACTCTGTACAGCACAAAACATAAACGCACTTCAGCAAGTTAACGCAAGTATATCAAAAAAGGGAGGCATGCTACGTTTGTTTTAGCCGTGGTTCTGTTAGGTAGGGCTATTTCTGACCGTAAACACGGTCGCGTCGATGTATAGGACGAACCCTAATGCCGCGACGCCACCCTCTATTCGCATAGCGGTAAAAGTGAAGGGAATATATATTTCTGTACACCGGTCCATAAAACTGGCTTGAAGAACACAATTAATTCTCTGATTTCGACCAAACAAAATAACGTCAGGGGAGGATTACATTCTACTGGCTCGATAGGCACTTAAATGTGTTATGTCTTCCTTTCAACAATTATTTTAGATTGTTTGTAAGAATAAACAATATTTTGATGCTGTGCGATTTCTACCAGACTTCGTCCACCCAAGAACAATGACATGGCACTGTCCCTTTGTTTTCTGCGATGCAAAGACCCAGTGACCCAGTTTTATATTTTGAATTCCTGCCAACCAACCTGCTTTGGGATCGTGGACTTGTTCCATTTCCACAGGGAGTACAGGTTTATGAAAATCTATATTTTAACAACAATTTAAAATAAAATAAATAAAAAAAATATTTTGTGAATTACTACGTTGGTTGCGTACATTAATACGTCACATTGTGCATTTCTCAAGTTTATTTACGTGTGTAAATGTGATTATATGGTCCAAATCGCGCGCACACCCATACCGTTGATTCCAAGCGTACGTGCCAAGGTTTTTGCAAATCGGTTAGCTAGTTTGCTAATTAGGTAGCAAATTGTATAACCATCTTGCAAATCTGTAGTTCCATGCGCATGTGCCCCACCAGTAATTAAGGAGAACTGTTCGAGTCACGCACATATTTTAGAATCCACGCCCACTTTTGCGAAATCACGCCCTTAATGTAACTCAATGTTCAATTAACAGTTAATGTCATTTTAATTAAAGGGCGGTGGTCGTCGCGCCGCGCATGT